TGCTTTAATTTCGGTTTAAAGCGTTTTCATGAGGACATTTTATTGGATTTATTATACTAATAAAACCGATTTTTTTATTTCATTATCTACTCCTAAATGTTGTCAAATTTTGAATAAGTCATGGCAACCTCTAGAACTAAGAAACTAAAGTACGTTCACTGAACATACATAGAAAAATGTAAATGTTTACTCCCATTCTGTAGGATGCCTTGACTTTTTTAAAATTTGACAACATTAAGGAGTAGATAATGAAATAAAAAAATCGGTTTTATTAGTATAAGAAATCCAATAAAATGTCCTCATGAAAACGCTTTAAACCGAAATTAAAGCATACAATGGACAATAGATACAATGAATAGTTAAAATTACTTCCATTCAAGGTTTAATCCTCAGAATTTTTTTTTACATCAGAAAAATCTCTACAATTTTGGGATTTTCAACTTTGGCGTCGAATTCCAAAGACATGGGCAATGGTTCACAATGCGGACTATTTTTTAGGAATGCCGTGATGTATTGAGATTAAATCCTACCGAAAATAATAAAGGTTAGTCCAATTATATAGGCCACGTAATTCAAAATGTGGGCAAACATCGGTTTTTTGTATTCTTAGCTATACCGCGGAACCTGTAGGTGATGGGACATAAGTTTGTATGGGACTTTACTCAGGAGCACACAATTATCATGGAAAACTAGAAATGGTTCGTGGAAATTTTTGGCTGTGTACCTGTGATATTTGTCTATATTTAAAAAAAATCGTATTTCTATTTTTTAGAAAACCTTTTCTTTCTAAATTCTAAGAAATATTTTTTTACTTTCTAGCAAAAAATTTTTAAATTGCGGTCTATTTTTTTTTTTTGATTTTTAGAAAAAACGCCTTTGATTTTAAAAACCTACATTCTTTAATATAGACAAAATCGCCAGTAAAGCAAATTCATAAGCGATTTTCTAAAACCAAGGGCGATTTTAGTCGATTTTGTATGGGTGTATTTTATCAGAGTTCGCTGAGATCTGGCTTTGAATGAACTTTCCCAAAATCCACTTCTGTTTTTGTCACGAGCGAAAAAGGCAGTTTTTTGGAAAGAGTGAAGAGAACTGCCTATTAAAAAAAATTAAAATCCCTTTTTTTAAAATTTTTTTTCTACTTTCAAGAGGTGCAAATGTCCCGAGCGACAATATGGAAGTGCCCATATATTCATGATCAGGATCACTAGCCGAGTCGATCTAGCCATGTCGGTCAGTCTCTCTATCCGTCTGTCTGTCCGTCAGGATGAACGCTGAGATCTCGGAAACTATAAAAGCTAGAGGATTGGCATCTTTCATGCAGATTCTTTGGGCTTCCTCAACTTTGGGCTCGTTTCTCAACTTATTTTCTCTTATTATTCTCTCCTTTATTTAAACACATGGATGACGTCACTATGTTCGTACATAAACACACTTTTAGTTTCAAATTTTAACTGAAACAATAACTGAAATTATTATATAATTAAATTTAAATTTACCTCGAGGGATGCTGTTTTTTTTAATTCGTTACGAATTCCCAGGTTAACCTGCGTTTTCCTAAAAATTCCCCGACGCAAGGATTCTTAGCACAAGTTCGAAAAATGCTGAAATTGGTTCACTTTCCGGAGGTTTTAGAGGCAAACGGATTCATGGTTTGTTTTGATGTTAAAGTTTTCTTAAAGATACACTCTTTATCTTTTAAACCCCATTCTTAAAATAATTTTATGATTTTTTTAAAAGAGAAACAAGAGAGACTATCAGATACCCGTTACTCAGCTAAAGAAAGTGCGAAGGAGATGGAGATAAAAACTTTGATCCGCCGTAACTTTTTAACGAATGGTCCGATTTAACAAATTTCTTCTACATTTCGATAGGTATTCATGAACACAATAAAACTGCATTTTTACTTTTCCGAAATATTAAAATTTTTTAAATCGTGTATAAGCGATTTGAAACAAACTTGCGCTGCGTAGGAACCCTTTTGAAACAAACTTGCGCTGCGTAGGAACTCCTAGAACCTTCATGCAAAATGTCAATCTTCTAGCTTTTATAGTTTCCAAAATCTCAGCGTTCATACGGACAGACAGACGGACATGGCTATATCGACCCTGATCAAGAATATATATACTTTATTTTATCGGAAACGCTTCCTTCTAGCTGTTATATACTTTTGCACGAATACAATATACCCTTTTACTCTACGAGTAACGGGTATAATAAATACTAGAAAACAGAGTCGAAAAACCTAAAAACATACAGCTGCGGTTAATTACACAGGTCAACAAAATGGACTTTATTAAAAGGTGCAGGCCTATTGGCATTAAAATATGTTAATATAGACGTATATAAGCATATCTGCATACTTAGTTTTCGCGTTTAACGGGTGGTATTTGTGCAATCGCGGCTTGAAAAAAATAGCAACATTTAATGTTTTGATTTAAGATATCTTCGAGGGTCTGTGCTCAACCTATGCCAAAAAATGGCTTAGATGCCCTTTTAAGTCACTCTTACGTAACGAGTTTGTCGTGATTTCACAAAGTAGGTTTTTTAAAGATAACACTGGCGTAGCCTTAAAATTTTGTAAAATCGCACAATCCAATAAAAAGTTATGATCATAAACTAAAACGGCCGCTGGATGGCGCCAGTAGTTTTGACGACTGCATCGCACTCCCTTTAGCTGAGTAACGGGTATCTGATAGTCGCAATATTCGACTATAGTGTTCTCTCTTGTGGGCCAACCAATTGATTAGCTGCCTGAAAATTTGGTTTTATTTTGTATTCCAAATTGAACACTGAAAATGTGATGACGTAATAAATACCCAGCTCATTATGAGCAATTGTTTTTATTTCTATCTCGCACTCCCTTTAGCTAAGTAGCGAATAGCTGAGTAGGGAAGGGTAACTGATAGTCGAAGTACTCGACTATAGCGTTCTCACATGTTAAAATTACAAATTTCAATTGTACCAGAAAATCGAACTCTGTTCTTTGATTCAAATCAGCGGTCGGCAGCGTCCTATTAAGTGAGCTTAGGGTTCTGATAGTCGCAATATTCGACTATAGTGTTCTCTCTTGTGGGCCAACCAATTGATTAGCTGCCTGGAAATTTTGTTTTATTTTGTATTCCAAATTGAACACTGAAAATGTGATGACGTAATAAATACCCAGCTCATTCCGTCTCTGGTTTCAAAATACACGGGGGTGACACAAAAAGTAAGGGGAAAAAGAGGTTGCTATGTGGTTTTCCAAAGGAATTTACATTTTTACAATTAACATTTTTACAATTAAAATTTACAATTTACACCGTCACCTGCTGAAAGATACAGGATTTCCAACACTTTCTGCTAAAAGAAACAGGATTTTCAACACACAAAGAACCTTCAGTTCTGGAGTGGTGACACATGACAAATTCATTAGGCCAAACGAATAATTTTGGCTGGAATAACTTTCGTGACGCAGCGACATGTGTATGCCCTTACATTTTGTGAGCATTATTATATTTCAAAATAAACAAATTAATTTCCTGTTATAAATTTAAATTGTTTATTCATAAAATTTGAATTTACCTAAACAATACTGTTCGCGCCAAAGCGGCGCCCCCAGCCCCGGCCAATTTTCCCTTCAAGCGCCCCTGGAGCCTTGACAGTCGAGACAGCAGTTCTTCCAGATCGCTCGCATCTCGCTCTCTCGCACTGTTAAGTGTCTCCACTCCGCTCTCCAAGCGGCTCTGGGAGCTTCCACTCTGTAGTTTTAAGTTAGTTCTAATTTACCAGTGTAAACGAACCGTACGCAAGTGAAGTCAATAAATCGTGGAGTATTATTATAAAGTGAAACGAAAACATTTCGGCCGTCTTAAATTGACTTCTCGGGATCGGTATCACCACAAGCACCCCCAATTGGAAAAGCCCGCCCCCCGACATTACAAATACATTTACCTAATTCAATTTTTTATTTAACTTGATGTTATAAGTTCATTTTTTAGTTAAAAAAAATGGTCCATTAATATTTATTTAAATATTATAACACTAACAGTTTTAAGAAATGGCGCTTTTACTAAACAAATACAAATTATTTAGTCGGATATATACCGCTTAAGAAAGGGTGTAGGAGCATTGGCACGCACCAACAGCGAAGATGAAACAAAAGAAATTGGGTAAAGGAGTAAGAAGAAGACTGGGTACATCGCATTATTTTCAAGGTTTTCTGAGAGAAGGAGTGTTTTGCGCGGTTAATAAAATATTTTGTGACTAGTGATATATGTATGGGCACTTCCAAAATGTCGCTCGGGACATTTGCACACCTTTAAAGTTGAAAAAAAATTGTAAAACAATGGATTTTAATTTTAATTATGGACTTTTCTTTTCACTCTTCCCAAGCTCTTTTAGTTTTTAAGATATCGGTAAAAAACTGCCGTATTCGCTCGGGACAAAAATAGAAGTGGATTTCGGGGAAGTTCATACAACACCAGAAATTGGCGAATTCTGATGGAATATTTGAATGCGATTTTTTTAGAATGTTGTTCAAACATGTCGCTGTGAAATGCTTTTGGTTTTACTCAAAAATTCTTTGCCGTTTTTTTTTATCCAGTTTCAACCACATTCGCTCGGGACATGTCGCTCGGGACATTTTTTCCGACTGTTTTGTAAAGCGGATTTCTTTACCTCTATCTCCCAATTGCTGGATGTTTTGCTTTTAACTTAATAGTTTAGCATGTGAATGAAGCATTCAGTACAGAAAAATGTCACATATTAGAATTCCTATAGGATAAATTAACAACAGAAGACAGGTCCAAAAAATAACAAAAAAATAGCCAAAAACTAACTTTTGTGTATATTATTGGGGTTTTTCATAAAAATAATCCAACTATACTCCACATTTTACGTTTAGCTCAGGATGCAACTAATTAGAAACTAATATGGCGGCAAAATCATGTGGAAATATGTTTTTTTCAAGTTTCAAGTTTTTTGGCTTGGTGGACCTTTTGGTGGAAGTGCCCATATACATAAATTAAAGTCAGGTAAGTGCTACCTTAAATGTAAGATATTGTGATAGACTTAACTTTAACTTGCACCAATTTTGAAAGTGATTTGTGTTTTGCAAAAAAAACCTAGAAAGTTCTGTGTGCATTAGCCGAAAGTGGCAAGCTGAAATGCTTTGTAACAATTAGAAACAAAACAAAAATAAATATATATATATATGTATATTTACAGATCCAGAAAGTGACCAAAATAATAATTTATCGAAATGCCTGAAGCTGATTATTTCAGATAGTCTGGTTATCGACTACAATCTGGACTGAAGCAGCGGCAAAAAATCTTTAAAAGCACGCAAAGGGCTATATGCGGTGCTTAATGGTCAGTAAGCAATTATTTGAATATTAAATACAAATGGTAATACTTATTTTTTAAATTTTTTCAGGAGCGTTGACCCACCAATCCGAAGACCCGATAAGAAATGTAAATGAATACAATGAAATAAATAAAATTAAATAAATGAATAGAAAATACAATAATTTGTATTTTTTTTTTGTAATAAAATTGCTGATGACATTTTGGAAAAAGTCACTCGTGAAATCATGCGTGACAGGGTGGTGACGTCTCATATGACCAATTCGTATAAGGCACTGGTGATATCACGAGTGACTTCGAAAAAATGTCATTGAAGCTATCACTATGGTACGGGGTAGGAACTTTCGAACAAAAGCCTCTATGGAAAATCACGAGTGCGGCGCGAGTGCCAAATGACCTGTCAAGGGTGATTCACCCGGTGATTCACGAGTGAAAACTGATTTCTGGAACTGAAGGGCACCTTCTCACTTTCCCGGTGGGTTCCCGGTGGGCTCCGAATGCTGCCGAATGCTGATTTAAATAACGAACTGATTTTTTGTATACCCTTGCAGAGGGTAGTATGATTTTAGTCAGAAGTTTGCAACGCAGTGAAGGAGACGTTTCCGACCCTATAAAGTATATAATCTTGATCAGCATCACTAGACGAGTCGATCTAGCAATGTCCGTCTGTCCGCCTGTCCTTATATCTGTCTCTACGCAAACTAGTCTCTCAGGTTTAAAGCTATCGGGATAACATTTTCCCAAAGTCTTCTTTCTTTTGCAGGTAGTATATAAGTCGGAACGAGCCGGATCGGACAACTATATCATATAGCTCCCACAGGAATAACCGGGAAAAAAAACTTATGTCTTGGGTGTTTTTGAACATATAACCTCCTACTGTTGGAAATGCCATTTCTTACCTAATTTTGAATTTCGAATTAAATTTTTAAAAAATCATATAGCTGCAATAGGAACTTTTGGAAAATTATTGGGTTTTTATTGCATTTTCTTTTACTCTGGGATTTTTTATACCCTTGGAGAGGGTATTATAATTTCAGTCAGATGTTTGCAACGCAGTGAAGGAGACGTTTCCGACCACATAAAGTATATATATTCTTGATCAGCATCAATAGCCGAGTCCATCTAGCCATGTCTGTCCGTCTGTCCGTTTCTATGCGAACTAGTACCTCAGTTTTAAAGCTATCGCGATGAAACTTTCCCAAAAGTCTTCTTTCTATTGCATGTAGTACATATGTCAGAACGCGCCGGATCGGACCACTATATCTTATGGCTGCCATAGGAATAATAAACAAAATAATAGAAAAAACTTTATAAAAAGTAGGCTTTTTGATTTTTGACAATGTAAAAACAACATTTTAGGTAGGCATACCTGCAAGGGTATATAAACTTCGGCTGGCCGAAGTTAACTTCCTTTCTTTTTTTTCAATATTTTCAATATTTTATCAAAATCGAACTATTATCTCATATAGGCTGCCATAGGAACAATCGGAAAAATGGGTATATAAGGGTATATAAGCTTCGGCTGGCCAAAGCTAGCTTCCTTTCTTGTTTGTTTTTAAAGTGTAGAATAAAATAGAATAGAATAAAAATACCTCAATAAAAAATGCATTAGATGTATGAAGCAATTCATAATACATATGTTGATATTTTATTAGTTTTTTTTTGCAGTGCCTGTTTGTTCCACTAAGGGAGCCAGTTTAAAATATAGGTATATTATCACTTTTACTCTCAAAAAAACACAAACTAAGGCATATTATGTTATGTGTGCGTGTATTTAAATATATTTCTGTATGTGTAGTTTAGAACTTACGTAATTATAATGTTTTTAAACGTGAACTCAATAGCTAACGAAAATATTAAGGTTTTTGATTAATGCAATGTTTGTGCCTGCTTTACGAGATTATTTAAGCCTTCATTTTTAATTTAAATGTCTAGTTTATACATAAATTGGTTGATGTCTACTTTCATACAAACGAACGTTTATTTCTAAGACCTATAACCAGTACATAATTTACAACTTCATTTGATTTTTATTAATACATATACGCGTTTATTTACATTTTGCTTTTAAGTGAGTGCTCTATTTTTAACAATTTGGCATCATTAGAAAATAATATTTTGTTTATGGGAGTTTATTTTTTTTGGAGCTGGTGCCTGGCTCTGCTGAAAAAACCTTATTCGATCTAAACCTTACTCGATCTAAACTAAACATATTTTTCAGCAGACGGCAAAGTAATAGGTGCCTAATAAAAATATTTAATGGCATAAAAATAAACCAAATATTAGTCGGTTGTAGAAAAAATTTTTTTTCTCAGAAAATAACGAATATTGGGGAAAAAATTGTATGCTTTCGCGTCCATTTTTTATTTTTGACATCGTACACTTTTAATATCGAATGTTTTTAATGGCACTTTATTAATATGTATATATATGACGATTAACCGCAAAAGTGTGTTGCCAGCAGCGAAAGGAGCGTGAGAAGCCAGCAGGTTAGAGGTGAGTTTGTTGCTTTGATATAGCCATGGCTCCCGTTAGTCTTGCCCTTTGACCAGTCAAATCCCTTGGGGCTACTGCCCGTCAACTTCTGCTTTGACTTATCAATCTCATTTAGATTCGATAGATATTTGATGCTCACTAAAATAGATGAGCAAAAGGCGGAAGTACCGTCAATTGGTTGGCAAATTGCGGGTGCACTTGGGTAGTACTTACATTTGCCAGGCCTACTTCCCGTATTTGTTGGTCCTTCGCCGACGCTACCATTCAAAGGGGTGTTCGAGTAGGCATCTAGCGTGTTTTCAGCTGCAGTCGTTGTTGTGCGCCGCAGCGTTGTGGTTGTGGGCGGAGCTTGTGTTGTTGGCGGATTCGACACTATAAAGAACAAGATATGTATGCAAAATTAAATATTTATAGTACTGGTCATAGGGATTTACATGCAAGGAAGAGATGGTTGATCCAGACTATCGGCTAGTGGCCCTGATCAAGAATATATATACTTTACGGGGTCGGAAACGCTTCCTTCTTGCTGTTACATACTTTTGCACGAATCTAATATACCCTTTTACTCTACGAGTAACGGGTATAAAAACCACACGTCGAAAAGAATCGGTCAAATCGTTAGGTTGCATAAAATTGCCAGTTTCTGAATATCGTTGTAATTAATCATGTCCCGAGAGTACAAAAACCAGTCGAGTCTTCCTCTTAGTTGGCCTTGGAAAATCGCTGTCATTTTATCGAGAAAGCTTAACAGGGAGTCCAAGTTCCTGTCAAATTAAGCAAGATTTCTGTGACTATTCCAATTTATTAATTCAGAAGGAACGATAGAAGAAAAAAAAATTTTTGCTCAATCGCATGCAATCCATAGAAAAATAATAAATCACAAGTAACCTTATAAATCGCCTTTCACCCAACCGAATTTTCATAACTTATTAGAAATCGTAACTTCAGTAAAATCTTTTTCAGTTTTCAATTTTTTTTCAATTGGTTTGGGGATTTCACCTCCCATTTTTTCTCTGCTGGTTTTTGCCATTATTGAAGCCAATTTGTTGGGAAAATTTATTGGGCTTGACTTGTAGCCCTGCCTTGGCAGCGAATCACGAAAGTAATCCAATGCCGTTTCTTGTTGACGTCGCCACTCGGCTACTGTATATCCTCCGAACACTCAATAAAATTGTCCCAGGTTCGTTGTTCTCATTGTTGGCGCTCCCCCTTCTACTATTGATGCCGTCATTGTTACCTTTAATTGGTAGGATGACACCCACTTCTGCATGACAAGAAGCCATTGTTGTGACACCCAAATAAAAGTCGTGTGTACATATATAAATTAAGTACACCCAACAAAAAAAAAAACGATGGAAATCGCCCTTGGTTTTAGAAAATCGCCTATGAATTTGCTTTACTGGCGATTTTGTCCATATTAAAGAAAGTAGGTTTTTAAAATCAAAGAAGTTTTTTCTAAAAATCAAAAAATAAATTGACTGCAATTTAGAAATTTTTCTTAGATATTTAGAAATATAATTTAGAAATAAAGGTTTTCTAAAGAATAGAAATACGGTTTTTTTTAAATATAGAAAAATATTTTTTATATAACAATAAAAAATTTCTTAAATTCAGAAAATACAAAAATCTATTTTCGGGCTTCGGAATTATACCCGATTAAACAATCTGTGACGCCACGGCCTTTATTGTTGTTTTTTTTTTCGTTCTTGTTTGTCACCTTATTTGAACTTCCTTTTAATTGAGCACTTGGGTGGTTTCAAATTGGAACTGAAATAATAACTGAAACGAGTGTACAAATTACAAATTACAAATATAAAAACCCAATAGCTTACTATTTTGAGAAAACATCTAAGTCGCCGCACGCGGGAATCGAACCGCTAACCGCTTGCCTCACAGTTTGCAGTCACGCACTCTACTAGCTGCGCCACGGAAGCATCACGTGAGACGCTGTACAAAGTCTATTCACATTTTGTTCTCCTCTTTTTACTCAAATTGATCTGGCTCTCTTCTAGTTATTCCTTTTAGTTGTTCATTTAATTTTGCTTTTAAATATTTATTGATTAATAATAATATTTATATATTTATTATGGTTCAATAGTAACAGTAATTGAATGTTTCAAATTTGAAAAACTTTAACATCATTTTTATCAAAATATAATTATTCATGAGCTAAAAAAAAATGCAATACATTTTTTTTATTAATATGTAACCATTAGTGTTAAAAAAAAACAAAAAGACACCATGAGTTTTTCGTCTCGACGTGGGTTTGAACTCACTCTTGCAGCCGCAAGCTTGAATAACATATGCATGCACGCACGCGTTAGACCCCTAGGAATCCCGGAAATTTTCTTCGATTAATAGCGATTTTTTCTTAGGCTAAGAAAAATTTTTCTAAAAGTCTATAAGAAGAGAAATTTATCAAATACGGTTAAATTTTTTATTTTCTAGAAAAATATTTCTTAATATCACACATTTTTTTCTTAATGTTAGAAAAATCTTCAAACATTTTTTCTGTTTTTAGAAAAACAATATTTTTATTATGTAGAAATATTTATAATTTTAATGGCAATTTTTTTTTAGTTTTAGAAAAGTTCAGTCTTTTTTTTCTAAAATCAATTGCGATTTGAACCCTCAAAAAAAGAAAGGAAGACTAGAAAAATAAACCTTATAATTTAGAAAAAAAAATTGATTTTTCTGTATTTCAGGAAAAATTTGCTAAAAAAAACTCGTTCAATTCAGAATTTTTTTGTAGATTAGAAAATTTTTCTGAAGATTAGAAAATTTTTCCTCTTTATAGAATATTTTTTTAAAGCACAGAAAAACTTTTTTTTCAAGTATGGCGAATGTGATAGAAAACCTTTATTTCTAAATTCTAAGAAATATTTTTTTACTTTCTAGCAAAAAATTTCTAAATTGCAGTCTATTTTTTTTTGATTTTTAGAAAAAAAAACGTCGTTGATTTTAAAAACCTACTTTCTTTAATATAGACAAAATCGCCAGTAAAGCAAATTCAAAGGCGATTTCCTAAAACCAAGGGCGATTTCAGTCGATTTTTTTTTGGGTGTATAATCTCCTCCATACGGTCTTGATACTTGAATATTGTTGTCAGCTGAAGAAATAATCTTTTCTCCGCGCCAGCAAGGGTCACTTTTTCACTCCTCTTTCCATTGTTACTCGATTTGAGTTGGGCTGAGAATGGTAAGCAGCAGTGGCGGATCCACGATTTGGATGTGGGGTGGTGAGTTGTTCTTAAAACAAATTTGTTGGTCAATCATTTTTCATTCCATTATTTTTTCACAAGAGTCAGGCGCAATTTATCCCTTAAGGATCACTTTCCACACAGTGAACTGACTCTCGGACACACTGAATTCAAATAGCACTGATTTATTAAACGTTTTGAATTATTGGCGTATAAGTCAAAGCAGTCTTCACGGGAAGTTACCAGTTTGGTTCGATTAGTATTGGTATGAGTTGGGGGTCTTTAATTATCGAAAATTAAAGTTTTGGCTAAGGTTTTCCAATATTTACACATTTTCACATTTAGATGGCGCTACCTTATTAGTTAGTTTTTATTACTGTACGATGCAGTGCCATCTGTTGGAAAAAAAACAACGTTACTACTTTAGACTAAAAACATTAAACGTGGTAGTAGTGTTTTGTAAATCATTTGGTTTATAAAAAACAAGAAAGGAAGCTAGCTTCGGCCAGCCGAAGCTTATATACCCTTGCAGATCATTCCTATTAATTTACAAATCGCAAAAATGTTCAATTTTCAAATATTTCTCATTAATTTTCCGATCGTTCCTATGGCAGCTATATGATATAGTCGTCCGATTTTGATCAAATTAAAATTGAAATTCGAAAATATTTAAAAAGAGTCATATCCTAGAGTAGGGGATAATACAATAAAAACCAAAGAAGCTAGAATTTATTTCCTATTACTTTTCCATTAATTTTCCGATCGTTCCTATGGCAGCTATATGATATAGTCGTCCGATTTTGATTAAATTAAAATTGAAATTCGGAAATATTTAAAAAGAGTCATATCCTAGAGTAGAAGATAATACAATAAAATCCAAAGAAGCTAAAATTTATTTCCTATTACTTTTCCATTAATTTTCCGATCGTTCCTATGGCAGCTATATGATATAGTAGTCCGATTTTTTAACTAATTAATTCGAAATTCAGATATATTTAAAAAATAACATCCCCAAAAGTAGAAGGTAATATTTCAAAAAACACCGAAGCTAGAATTTTTTAAAGTTTTTTTTTTTTCCGATTGTTCCTATGGGAGCCATAAGATATAGTTGTCCGATCCGGTCGGCTCCGACATATATACTACCTGCAATAGAAAGAAGACTTTTGGGAAAGTTTCATCCCGATAGCTCAAAAACTGAGAGACTAGTTTGCGTAGAAACAGACAGACGGACAGACGGACAGACGGACAGACGGACGGACAGACGGACAGACGGACATGGCTAGATCGACTCGTCTTGTGATGCTGATCAATACTTTATGGGGTCGTAAACGTCTCCTTCACTGCGTTGCAAACTTCTGACTGAAATCATAATACCCTCTGCAAGGGTATAAAAACAGGTTTGTGAACAGTTTTGAATTTTTGTTGGGATCTTACAAAAATCTTTTTTAACCAACAAGTCGGATCGAATTTTATATGACAGCCCGGAATTTAATCCCGTTCGAATAAAAAAGTCATAATTTAATCTTTATACCCTTGCAGAGGGTATTATGATTTCAGTCAGAAGTTTGCAACGCAGTGAAGGAGACGTTTACGACCCCATAAAGTATTGAAAATTAATGGAAAAGTAATAGGAAATAAATTCTAGCTTCTTTGGATTTTATTGTATTATCTTCTACTCTAGGATATGACTCTTTTTAAATATTTCCGAATTTCAATTTTAATTTAATCAAAATCGGACGACTATATCCTATAGCTGCCATAGGAACGATCGGAAAATTAATGAGAAATATTAGAAAATTGAACATTTTTGCGATTTGTTAATTAAAAGGAATGATCTGCAAGGGTATATAAGCTTCGGCTGGCCGAAGCTAGCTTCCTTTCTTGTTTTAGGATGAAATTTATCTTTTCAGACTTAAAGTACAAATTTTTATTCCATATTCGGATAAAAAAGTATTAATACATTTTTTTTTAGGATAACATAAATTTCTCGGGCTTAAAGTAATCCCAAAAATACAAAATTAAGCCTTTTTTATTCAACCGGGATTGAAATTTTTGATCTCGGAATAAATTAAAATCAAGAATAAAAAATTTGAATTTAGCACGCCGTTTTTTTTTGAGTGTAGATAATGAAATCAAAAAGTACGAACGCTGTACTCGGGTTGGTGTCCCGACT